CCAACAAGCTTCAGTTCTATTATGGATGTTCATGTGTGCATGAGTGTGTAGCGATACAACTATCTTGTAAGTGCAGCCTGAATATAAGCTGTGGTAGTTCTTAACCTATCCACAGCATTGTGCAGTGGATTATAAATTGTAGTCCACTTCTTTAATTTAAATTGTAATATATTTTAATGATCCTTATGTTTTTGGTGGTATAAGCATCATTATAACAGATATTTTTAAGAATGTAAAGAACATCTCAGTTGAGTCACCTTTCAACCCAATGATGTAAGAGGTCCTTCAAATGTTATTATGCTCATTTTACAGATGATGGGACAAATGCTTAGATGAATGAACTTATTTACCCAGAGTCTCACCACAAGTTAATGCTAGAGGTAGAATTGGAACCCAGGACTTTTTTTTAATTTCAGGTCCAGTAACTTTCTATACTCTTCTGTGTTGCTTCTCTGACAGAACAATCCTGACATACATATGCTAAGATCGTATTGTATGCAAAAAAAATCATATTTGTGTCACAGACCAGCAAGGCAAAAATACATACACATATTTGAAGGCTGTCTAATCAAAGGAGTATCAGACTTGTTCCATTTGGTCTTATAGAAAAACAAAACAAAAAAAAAACACTGGATGGGTGTTGTACAGGGTGAGATTTAAAAGTGGTATCTTGGGATCGTACAATTAGAGCTGGAAGAGAGCTTAGAAAGCATCTAGGTCAATCTCTTAATTGCTACAGCTAAAGAAACTGAGGGGCAGAGACGTGAAGTGACTTGCCTCGTTCATTTTATCTGACTGCCCTGTTTGCCTACAATGTTCTTCTTTCTCTGGCTTTCTTCAAGTCTCAATTAAAATGCCACTTTTCTCCAGAAAGCCCTTCTAACCCCTCTTAATTCTTATGCCTTCTCTTTATAAATTATTTGCTTTTTCACACTGTACATCTCTTGTTTGTATATATTTGTTTGCTTATTGTCTCTCCCATTTTATTGTGAGCTCCTTGAGGGCAGGGATGGTCATTTGCCTCTCTATACCCCCAGTACTTAACAAAATGGCTGGCACAAGGCAAGCACTTAATAAATGTGTACTATTGACAAACTGAATGGCTTAGAGACCTGGATCCCAAATCCAGGACACCATCCTGCCTCCCAATGATGAGAGAAATTCAAAGCTAAACAAATTACCTTGATAGTCAAGTCTTCAACAAGCAAAAAACAAGAGGACCATTTATTACGCATTTACTAGAGAACATTCTTGGGCTGATGTGGGTTGGACTGGAAAGCCTCGGTTCGTCTTTGGTGAATAAGTCCATTGAGTTTATTCTATGTTATTTTACATTCACTCCCCGAATTTACTAATGGATTCAAATGGATATAACCAGTTGAAGCTCTTATGTTTGGGATGTTTACCTGAATAAGTGCTAGTATGTGGTAGACACTAGACGGGGCAAGGTGACTCCTCAATCTCACAAAGACTTAAGGTCAGATATTACCTCTGACACTCACTAGCTGTGTGATGGTGGCCAAACTCCTTCACTGCTGTGTGCCTCAGACAACTAATTGGGATTTGCCAACTCAGTGATCTGTATGTCTATGATCGAAGAAGCTTGCACACTTTGAGTTCTTTGTGTTGAGTAAATCATAGTCCTTGTGCATATGTACCACTTTATCCACTTGAAAAAAGTCTTAGCCCTTATTTCTATCATAATCTTGGTCTTTTAAACATCTAGAGCTGGGAGATCTTGATCATTACTCCAATTCACTACTTCAGCACCTCTTTCCTGGATTATTGCAATAGTCTAGTCCCTGCCTCAAGCCTCTCCACACTTGATTCTATGCTCTAAACAGAGCTGCCAAAATGATTTTCCTGGTGTAGTGGGTAGAAAGTCAGCCTGGTGATTCAGAATAATTTGGATTCAAACTTGGTTGCTGACAAAAATGTGTTCTATACTACTGGAGAAGACTTGCCCATATCAACCACCCTTTCTTCCCCCAACACAACACTCAATAAATGTCAGGGACTTCCTATTACCTTTAGGATTAACAATGTACTTCTAAGTCCTGAAGTGTGGCTTTCCGACTGAGTCCAAGTTTTGCAGGACAAATCTTTTTATTAAGGGGATTTGTTCTGGGAAGTTTGGATTCAGTCAAAGAGCCACACTTGAGGACCTAGAAGGCCACATGTAGCCTTGAGGCCACAGGTTCTACACCCCTGTAGTTAAACTGGCCTATTTGCTAAACTTCATGCCTGGCACTCTGTCATTTTTATCTCCATCCTTCTCACTGGCTGCTCCACTATGCAGCAAATCTCCTACCTCCCTTGTTCCCCTTAGAGTTTCAGGATTCTTTCAAGATTTAGCTGAAATTGTGCCTTGTACAGGAGGCTATTGTTAACGTTTGCAGCTTCTAGTACCTTCCTTCTTCATTAAAGTTACCACCCATCTGCTCTGAGTAGTTTGGCTTAGTTCTCATTTATGCAGATGTCTCCCCAATTAGAATGGAAACTCCCTAAGGTTGAGTTTACTTTTCTTTGTACCTACAGCTTAGATCACAGAGTTTGGAAGATAATGTGCATTAAATAAATGCTTCTTAACTAGGTCGTTGATAAATAAAACCAGATTTTTAGAACTGGAAGGCATCTCAGAGGCCATCTAGTCTAAACTCTTTATTTTCTATATGAAGAAACTGAGGCCAATGGAAATTAAGTGACTTGCCCAAGGCCATATAGTAGGTAAACATCTGAGATGTCCTCTGACTCCAGGTAGTGAGTGGCCCAGATGGGATTTGAACTTAGCTTCTGGAGCTTCAAGATTCATCCCTCTTTCTGCTACAAATGTAGCACCATCTTTGTTATAAACTCATGTCAGAGAATTTTTTACTGCCCTGTCAAATCACCCTCCCAACTTACCAGTTGTTTTCACTCAGATCAGCAGTTTTAATTCCCTTGTTTCCTATTGGGTTATCACAATGGAAGCTACAAAATTCAACTGCTATTCATTCAACTTCTCAACCACGTCTTTAAGTAAATGATACGCAGGTTAAGTAAGGAATAAAAAATTGGATTTTTAAAGTTAACTTTTCAACTTTCCTGAATTTTGTTCCTTTCCTCACTTTTCCTATTTTGTCTCATTTTCTTTATTTTTATATAGTGATAAGAGATTTGAAGACATAGGCATCAAGTAAATTTCATCCTATTCCCAGAGCAGCCACTAATATCTTCTTTAGACTTAAGTAAACTTTCTTCTGCTACCTATATCACTTGGGTGCCATGAGACTGAAGTGCTATCTACAAAGTACTTTGAAATTTTTACAGAAAATAAGTACTGTCATAGTGTGGCACCATGGCCTTCTATCATCTGTCATTAGGGAGGCAGTTAACAATTATCAAGCACCTATAAGCAGATACTACTGGGGATAAAGAAGAAAGACAAGAATAGTTCCTGCATCAAGGAGACTACAATCTGATAGAGGCAGACAGAAAGCCAGCCTAGAGAGCCTTTGACACACACTGTGTGGACCTGGGCAGGACACTTACTCTCTCAATATTCTAAACAATTCTCTAAGTGTATAAATTGCAAAGAAATTATTGATCTGTATTAGTGAGGAAGTTTTTTTGTCTATGTTAATAAATTACAGATCTAGTCTCTATCCCTTTATCTCATAAAGGAGTTCCTAAACTTGATTATCATTATAATACCATTTGGGGTGAGATCTACGTGCCTGACATCTAAAAAAAAATAATTCAGGGCTTACTGAAGAGGCCTATATACATCTATTTAATAGAAGCACCAGCTAAGTAGAATTGCCATCTCAGGACCAAGGGTGCCTCTTACACAAAACCTATAATTCTTAATGTCATCACAAGTGAAAACTGTGATCTTTTTTTAGTGATAAGATTACCTGTCCACATTTAAAATGGAAGATGGATCATGAATGAAAATAAGAATATATCAAGCCTAATGTTTTGGACCACAAGTACTAGATGGCAGAGAAGTGGCTGGAGAGCAGTTTCTCTGAAAAAGATCTGTGGATCACTAACTCAATATGAGTCAACAGTGTTATATGATGGCCAAGAAAATCAATGTGTTTTTCGGGTGCAATAAGTGAAGAATAGTGTTTGGGACTAGGAAGATAGTTTCAATGTACCATGTGCAAGGAAGACAACATCTGTAAAAGTGGAATTGGCTCTGGATGTGACAGTTTGGGAAAGACATTAATAACCTGACTATACCCAGAAGAGGGTACCGGGTTGTTGAGTTTGTGCCATATAAAGGGTTGAGAGAAATTATTATGTTTATGCTTAGTAGGGATATGACAGGTATTTTCAAGTACTAGGAAGACTGTTTTATGAAAGATTTTTTTTTTAAAGAAAACTATATTGTGCTACCTCTTAGGCCCAGAAGGCAATCCCAGGAGCAATGGGTATAAGGTTCAAAGAAGTAAATTTAGGCTTGAGGTAAGAAAACAAAAACAAATGTATAATAAGGAGTGCTCTCCAAAAACATCTCAGGAGGAGCTGGCTTGCCACCTTTTGGAGATCTTTAAGCAAAGACTGTATGAGTTCTGGTCAGGGATGATGGAGAGAAAATTCTTTTTCAGGGACCAATGGACTTGATTGCCTCATGGGTCCCCTCTTACTTTGAAAGTCTATGATCCTGTCAATCAAATACACCATCCCTTTTAGAAATCCACAAACTGGAACCTGAACACAATGCAAATTCAGGTGGATTCTTCCTCCCTTTCACAACCATTTGTTCTGTGTCATGTCTTAATGAGTACATTATGAAACTTTCCAGTCCATAGGCAATAGGTAATTTCAACTGTCCTTAGAAGAATCATCTGGCACACTGGGGCAATGCATAACAAAGATCATTATCATGCAAAATGTATCAAGTGGGAGAGCTCAAAACCCATACTCATCACCTTGGTTATTTCATGGACATAGGAATGCTTATTTGAGTTCAAAATTATCTTTCAATAGTTGGGAATTTTAACTCAACTTACTGGAGGATCAGCATCTTCAGCAAAAACAGTAGTGATCAGTGTGCCCTTGACTGCATCTGGAGCAACCATCCCTTTGTAGAGGTGCTTTGAAAACACAGGAGGATAATCATTCATATCCTGTAAAACAAAGGTTGTAGGTGAGTCCAAACCAGGCTAGAGAAGCAGCAACAATGACTCCTTCAGCCTCTACCCATTCACTCTCTTTGGATTACAGAACCCATTTTCACTGTCAGTCCCTTGTACTCAATTCCATTATTCTCACCTCAGTTTGGCACCCAAGAGGATGTGGCCAGATTCCCCATACAATTTTAATGTGTGAGATAGCGGCAGAAGGCAATTTAGTTTCTAAACACAGTCTGTCACCCAGGCAAATAAAGCCTCGAGAAGCTTCTGTCAGAAACTTCCTAAGATGCTTCCAGTGATATGGCTTAAAAGTTCTAAGTCACTAAAGGACTTTGAACTTCTACTAAAAGAAAGTGCTAAGCTAGGAGACAGATAATTAAAAACAGCAACATCAGCAACACTGGGGAAAAAAACTTCCTCCTCATCGGTTTTGTTCAAATAGGGAATTATTTTATCCAGTAATCAAAAAGGTCATTCCTAGGACCCCCCAAAAAGAGAGAAGAGTTCACTGAGCAATCAATAAATCAACAGGGACTTAATAAGCAATTACCACACTTTAGGCACTGTGAGAAGCCCTGAAGATACCAAAGGAATAGAGAAAGCTACCCTGCCCTTAAGGACCAAACATTCTAATGGAAGAGAATACACACACACACACACACACACACACACACACACACGTGTATATATATATATATATATATATATATATAATATATATATATATATATATATATATATATATATATAATATATAATATATATATATATATATATACACGTGTGTGTGTATGTGAGTATGTATATGTATACATAAGACACATGAATATTCAGCCAATAAAATAACAAGTATTAAGGACTTCCTATATGTCAGAGACTCTGCTAAGTGTTGGGACTTCAAAGAGAAAGACAGTGATCCCTGATTAAGAACATTACATTATAACCAAGGAGACAGCATGTGTATTGAAAAATGTACATTCCAGATATGTATAGAATAGGTAGATGGTAATCTTTGAGGGTAAGGTTTCCAGGGGTGGGGAGCCTGTAGCCTCCAGGATACATGTAGCTTATTAGGTCTTTGGGTGTGGCCTTTTGGCTGAGAACAAGTTTTACAGAACAAATCCTCTTATTAAGGAGATTTGTTCTGTGAAGTTTGGATTCAATCAAAGGGCTGTACTTGAGAATGTAGAGGGCTGCATGTGGCCTTGAGGCTGAAGGTTCCCCAACCTGGTTTAAACAGTTACAGTAATTGAGAAAGGTCTTCTAAGAGAGGATAGCTTTGGACTGAGCATAGAAGAAAGCTAGAGATTCTAAGAGACAGAGTTGATAAGGAAGATCATTCCATACATGAGGGACAACCACCAAAAACATGCAGACCTGGTTAATGGAGAGTCACGCAAGCACTTGTTAACTCTACTATAGAGGACATTCTTATTCAGGTGTATGTATTAGACCATATTGTCTTTAAGGCCACTTCCATGTTCTTTAATTCTGGGATCTCATTTTAGATGGATATATTGTGATGCAATTAGACCAGATTTTATTACCCCCACAAGTGACACATCAGAAAAATGAGGCTTCAGGAAATATGTAATATTAGTCTCAAAATGAGACCTAGAATCCCAGGCTCTTGCTATCTAAACTATTACCAAACTACATCAACTTTCTGCCATTGTCTGATCCTTTGGTGTTAGGAATGAAAAACAGGCCTCACACTATTAAACAATTCAAAGACTTGATTTATACTCTAGCAGATTGCTTTTAATAATCATTCCCTATGCCCAATGTTGGAAGCCCATCAGAGGTCAAGGGCATTTTGACCCAAGGCTAATTTTTAATTGCTTATCAAGGCCTCTGGATTCACCTTTTCTAATTTGATATTATACCCATTATCCTACAAAGTCTTTGTTATTTGCTCTGATAAAACAATTTCATGGACAATGCAAAGTGAAGAAACACTAATTAAGTGGCTATAAACTCCTTTCCACAAAGGGGTTAGTGCAATTATTGAACTGCTGTTAAACACAGTTCTCTTTTATGTTTACAATGCACTAGACTTCTGAAAAGAAAAACTGAAGAAACTCATACATTTCAGTAAGGATGAATAAATCAGATAACCCTATGGACAAGTAAAAGGAATCTCTCTCCCTTGCCCCTTACACCTATTTTGACTACAGAAAGTATGATGTGGGAGATACGGAGATAATCTCAAAGTTAGGAAGATCTGAATTTAAGTTATGCTTCTTCCACATATTATGTGATCCAGAACCTGTCATTAATCTTTCAGGACCCCAGGTAACTTTCTAAGAGCTTCCCAACCATATTAAAGAAGAGAAGAAATGGAAGTGGCTTCCTGGAAGGGACTAATGGTCTTCAGGTAAAGCTTGGATGACCTCCCTTAAGTTGGGTTGGACTTGAAGGTCTTTGAAGTCTCTCCAAATTCTGAGATTCTGGATTACATGAAGTAGAAAATGATAATGTCATCGTGAACACAACAGTTCATGAATACAAGCCCTCTCATTCCCTTCTACTGAATTCTAGAATGAGGGATGGTACAAGAGACTACAACGGCCCTCTAGTTCAGCCCATACCTTCAAAAGAAATCCAGTCTTTTGATCATGGGTAAAAATGGTCATTGAGCCTTTGCTAAATGACTTCCAAATGAAGGGAAATGTACTCTCTTTCGAAGCAGCAAACTTTCTCCTGACTTCAAGCTTAAATTTTCTTCTTTCCAACTCCTATCCAGTCTAATCACTTTACACAGGACAGTCCTTCAAACAGTTGGACAAAGCTATCATGTCCTTCCTTTCCAGGCTAAGGATGTTCCATTCCTTCAACCAATATTGATATGACCTGAACTCAAGGCCCTTCAGTAACTTTCTGACCACTGTCTTTGTAGATACTCTCAGTAGTTTATAAGCTGGACATTGGGAACTTATAAAAATATGAATGTGGATAATACATTTCCTTTGTCATCTTATGTGTTTGTTTTATGCATTTACATGCACTATTCTGAGAAGGAGTGCATAGCTTCACTTAATAACTGATAGGGTTCATGACACACAAAAAAGTGAAGAAGCCCTTCTCTTCCTCATCAATGTCCTTCTTAAACAATAGTTCCTCAAATTGAACACAATGCTTCCAGGTCTGACTTGGAAGTAGGCCAATGAGCTCCTAGGTCCTGGAAGCCACACCTCACTTTATATAGCTAAGATCAAACCTCTATACCCAGACTTAGGAGCCAAGAAGATGAAGGAGAATGCCTAACACACACCAAAAAACAAATTTAGCCTCATCTTTATCAAGCTGAGCCAATAAGCTTTATTAAGTTATACCACATGAAGAAGACACTGAGCTTTGGTGGGATGAAATCCATGACAGTCATGTAATTCTGGATAAGTATACTTTGCTCCAGTAGGAAAGAAACAAGTCAAATGGTGGGAGAGTATCAGCACATCTGAAGCAGGTATATTCATATGCAGAAATATAGAGCCCATGGGAAGGGGTATCCCTGGTAGAGTACATATAAATGTATATTCATGGAGGGAAAAAGTTATTTTATTATCAGGTTATGCTACAGATCCACTGCAAAGAAAAATAAAAGAGAGTAGGATTGGGGGAAACAAGCCATCAACTTGGCATAAATCCTGGAATTATAATGAGGTGGGTATCAGATACCTGCTGGAATTCTCTCTCCATTGAAAGCATGGAAACTACTAATGTCTTGTCTTAACTATGATTTCATCTTTCAAAAGGCAGAGCAAATACAAGTGGGGGATTTATTCCAATTCTTATTCTCACTGAGAGAAACTGCATACTGGGGTGAGAGATTATGGGGATTTTGTGGGGAAATCACTACTCCTTAAAGTTTGTGACCAAGGAAAAAAACCCAGGAAAAGTTTGATATGGACTTTGGGAGAACAGATGGAGAGTATTCAAAAGCTAAAATTCTGCAAGAAGAAGAAGGCAGCACAAGGTTATAATAACAATGAAATGCTGAAGACAGAAAGGAACCTTGTCAGCTCACCATAATATTAATTGCAGGGGAATTTGAATTCTTAATGGTTCAGGTTTTCCCCATTTTCAAAATAATGTTTTCTAAACAAAAAGACAGAAACATATTTAGGGTCTTCAACTTAGCTAAGAGTGGATCAATTGTTGCAAGCCTTTGGAAGGACAGAGATGAGAGTCTCAGGGGAGGGGCAGGGATGAATAGTTTATTATCACTGAAGGGAAAACCTACAATGTTGAGATGACAGAAATCACACAGCATTGAAACATTGTCAGAAAAAAAAAAGAAAAACCTGCCTCACTTCTTGTCTGGGTGGGGGGAGATTTGTCTGGATTCAATTCTGAATTGAATGAACAATTAAAAAAAAATAATTCCATCACACTGGTTAATTATTCACCAAGCTGAGATCATAAATAGTGGGGACTCATTAAAGAATGTATTTTTGCCTCTTTATTTTCTGTACTTGACAAGATGAGTTAGTAACTCAGAACTATTATTGTAGACATATTTTTCTTTTATGACACACTGAGCAGGTGCTCCTTATAGGGTTGTGATCCTTTATTGGCCCTAAGATGTCAAGTAAGTTGGTCATTTTTCTTCTGGAATGTATCATTTCACACAAGGAAAAGTGACTAGACAGTAATGGTGCTGGGCGGAACTCACTGCTGGTTCTAACTGCAGCCCAGGAATATCTGAATGAAGTACCCAGGAAAACTTTTTCTGTGTGTGTGTGTTGTGTGTGTGTGTGTGTGTGTGTGTGTGTGTGTGTGTGTATGTGTAAATGTTTTTCTTGAATGCAGTGAGTGACAGAGAAGCTGTTCTCCACACAGATGTTCTTTCTCTTTTTTCTTTTCTTCCAGAGGGTATTACTATCCAATCAAAAGAAACTTCAATAAAATCACCATGATGTCTTCTACATCTGATGAGATCATACTATGGTCCCATGCAACCCTACCTCCACATGCTTGACAGAAATGATCAA